AGAGGCAGGTCCGAAGCTCATGTACTGTTGCTGGGGTTGCTGGGAATCTAGTGACAACTTAGGTACTTGCCACAACACTCGCCCTCAAATGGGCTTATTTTGAAAACAATTTCTCTCCAAAATCTTCATTTTTGTCAGCAGCTTCATGATTATCCCAATCAACCAAATCCCAATGTTTCATTTTAATTTTCTTCCTCAATTAAAGAACCAGAAGTAAATCACCCAAGACCCATCAAGTCCTTGAGCTAGAAGTCAACTAATCAAGTCCAGATCATGTAGCTATTTATTGTGTAGCATCTATGTGCTAAACACTGGAGACAGTAAGATACTTTGTGCCCCAAAGAAACTTGACACAAATACTTCAGCTCATGCAACACTATATCGATCAAACAAGTGCATTGGTCATGTCATTAACTTGCTAGCAAAATATGCCTGTGTTCCTGGATCTACAGAATGCCTTAAACTTAACTCTGATCATCAAAGCCTTATGCATAAGTAGGTCCTCCACTGTCTGTCTTTTAGTGTAAGTTCATATTTCTTGCCCAACTGGTACTAAAATTTTGTGGCCTTTATTGTTGAGTCTCTCTCTCTCACTGTCCACAATCCTGACAGCTACAGCTCATGTCCTGTTATTCTCCACAAACTGCTTCAAGGAATTATATCCTACAGTGATCTTGCATTGATAGATCATAGCATTAGTCTAAATCATTTTTATATGCAATCATAAATATTCATATTTTTCTGTCTTGTCCTTCCAAACTAACTATAAATTCTTTGTAGTCAGTAAGAAAACTCTGCATTTCCCTTATTTATTTTTATGCATCTATTTACTTAATATATTTATGGAGGCCTTGTTTTGTACCCAACACTATATCAAGCACAAAGGGGTGTAAAGTGCTTTGACCTAGAAAATCCTAAGCCAATATTTGTTAATGAATATATTTTATCCCCTTTGCCAGGAAGGACAATAGCTATTTAAGAAGAATAACTTCTATGCTAACTAGTTTTTGGATCATTTGACCACTGCTATGGTGTAAATAAAATGTGACTAATTCAGATTGTTCAGTTTTAACCTAAGAGTTTTGAGTTGATGATAGTGAGAAGACAGAAACTTAAAACCCAATTGTGTTTGGAAGGTAACCTGGTAGGAGGTCTTTAGGTCATGGTAGGCAAGTCCTTAAGAAGGAGTTAGTTATAAAAGGTTCAGTTGTCTCAGCCATTCTCTCTGCTCATCGTATGATTATTCTGCCACTCCATTACAACCACCTCTGGCCTCTTCAGAGAGCCAAATAAATGGGGCTTAAGTGAATCTGGGATAGAAACCTCTAAAACCATGAAGCAAAAAACCCTTCTTCATTGATATATAGCCTATCCTCAGTATTCTGTGATAGCAAATAGTGAAACCATATCATTTCTAAGTTACGCCACCTGTCAATAGTAGGAAGATTCAATAATTGATTTAAAGGTATATCTAGAATATATCCATTGGCTTATATTCAATAGAATTTTATGTAATTTTTGTAATGGCTACTAAAAACATTAATATCTTTTTGGGGCTCACATTTTACTTTTCAAAAATTTGCTATAAAGTGCTGTTAATAGATAAAATAGAAAACTGCTTGGCATTCATAATAGCAGAAGACATTTCTATTTCATTATAAATAGACCAGAGGCTCCCTACATTTGGCTAGTTACATTAACAAATTAGGAAGGTAGGCCATTTGTTATGTGATTGCAGATTTCTGTTGGGAATTTATGTAACTTAGCTTACAAATATGCCCATTAAAATAGCATTACTATGTCATAAATATTCATGTAAATAAGTAAATGTTACTATGAATGTTTTCTTGAATGACAACAAACAATAAGTGATATAGCCCCAGATGTCTGCTTCAATTGACCCCCAAAGGGATGAATAGGCCACTGAATAAGCATCACGGTTACTGATGAGCTTTTAATACTGAGGTTGTGCTAAAATAAAAGCAAGTCATCCATTTATAGAGCTTCTGTCCATCACAATCAGCAGCAGAAACACTCAAGCAGTCTTGGATTTAAATAGATTGATTTAAGAAAAAGAGAACAACAACAACAACAAAACTTCTAATGAAAATACATTTAAAGCATATGTTTATGCAATCAACTTACAGAGAAATTTAAGGCTGTGAAAAACATTACCTCCATCCATAGAGGATTTAATGTCACCTTTGTTGGGCACCTAGGCTGAGGGCAGGTCTGCAAAGCCAACCAAGGCTAGAAATGATTTAATTTGTCCTTCTGTCCCTTGGAGAGCTGCTCTTTCTAGGGTTGCTGCAAACTGCTCAGCTTCTCAGCCACTTTACATCCACAGGTTCCTTGTGAGAAAAGGCACTGCCATGCTGGGTTCACCTCCTGCTATGCTTTGTACATTCCTTTGGGTGGCTCCCAAAGGCTAGTATAGAAAGGTTGGATGCAAAAAATCTTGAATGGCACTGAGGTAGCAGAAACTGCCATTACAGACCTAGTAGGAAGTGACGAGATTGTTTTGTTGGGCACAGGGTCTAATGTGCCAAAATAAACCTCCTTTTGTTATAATTTAGTTTCTCCAGGTATCATGTTACAGTGATGAAAAGCTGATTAATACGCCATTCCTGACTTTCCTCTGCTTCTGCATCTTTGATCTATGAATTCCCTCTGCCTTTGTAGGCTACTCAATGCATTTCAAAAGGTGTTTAGTCTACATTTCATTTGTCCACATTATCCCTATGAGAGAATAAACAGAAAGAGGAGTCCCTCTGTGTCTACTTGAATCATAGCTGTCACTACTCTAACTTTCTGGTTAATTACATTGGACTAATCCTCAGTAGCACAATATAGCATAATACCTCAATGTCCCCTTCTTCCTTTCTTTGCTTATTCTGTAAGTATAGGAAGGTCTCTCAAAGGCAGACTTTATTTCCACTCACTATCTTGTGACTGTTTAGGCTGTGATTATCTGTGCAACTTTTTACTGATCTCTCTGCTACTAGGACATCCCCACAAGCCCTGGGCACGATTGTGTATCCCAAAATATCCTGAAAATGAAACAGCAGAAGAGGAATCATTTTTTTTAAGTCTCTTACCCTGAACTGCCAGTTAGGAAATGTGTATACTGACATGGTACATACTGGAAGTCATGACATCCATGTGTCCTCCCAATGGAGAATATCCACTTTCAGCTCTGATCCAGTCGGCAAGTCACTTGCCCCCAGAATTCCTCTCTCATATTGGGAGCAGAATCAAAGAAGCTGGCCCAACCATTCCAGCAAACACTGACTGAGAGAGGAGCAACACAGGGCAAGCAAGAACAGCTCCATTTTCACAGGAAAGAGTCAATCAGTTAATATTTCTTTGAGCTCTTTGGGAGGAAGTCAACAATCACTAGTCATAAAAACCTAATGCTTAAACTAAACTTTGAAAATATAAGCAACTAAAGACAAATCTCTGAATTAATAATACAATAAAGCAATCTGGCACGAGACAAAACTTCTGTCAGAAACACGGAAAATTATAAGAATGTGAAGTGAAAAAAAAAAAGGCAAAGTAGCACAATTTATATCGGATAAGCACAGAGACAACTGACTTAACTCCATACAACATGGGGATGGTAGGATACCAGGTTGCCAGATGAGTATTCATGTACCCACAGAATGTGGCTGCAATACTTGATTGTTGGGTGGGATACAAGTTCTCCAGCACAACAGATACTTCTCTGATGGCCAATAGATAACCAAGCCTTGTCAGGTCGGTGGTTCCTCTCTAGGTTGTTACCTAAAGCAACTCATACTTCTGGATGACATCTGAGTTGGAAGTTAACAACGAAAACAGAAACATACAAAAAAGCAAAATAGGGGCTGGCGCTGTGGCATACTGGTTAAAGCTGCCAAAGGCAGCTCTGTCATTTTATATGCATTCCAGTTCAAGTCTTGGATGCTCCACTTCTGAAGCAGCTTCTCACTAACGGCCTATAAAAGCAGCAAGAGATAGCCCAAGTGGCTAGGTCCCTGACACCTATGTAGAAAGACTGGGAGAAGCTCCTGGCTCTTAGCTTTGGATCTGCCCAGGTCCAGCTGTCACAACCATTTGAGAAGTAAACCAGTAGATGGAAGATATCTCTCTCTTCATCTCCCTACCCCCTTCTCTCTCTATAACTCTGAGGTTTCAAACAAATATTAAAAAAAGAAAAACCTGAAATGTCTCTGCCAAACTCCTACTTAAATAAACAAACAACAACAAAAAGCTTAATTTAAACAAAAACTTTCACTGTAAAGTGTAGGATAACAGTTGTTATTCTTTCCTTCTATAGTTTTCCAAACATTCCCTAATACTGTAATGTTTTAGTTACGGAATAATTATGTAACAAATACAAATGATACAAAGAGATAAAATCTACTAAAATTGAATGCAAAGCACAATATTTTTTCCTTTAAACATGGAACTTCTTGAAATTACTTTTAGTAGCAACTTGATAAATTTCTGCAGAGCAATTGTCAGGTAACATCTTGTACCTCATGAGAGGGCCTTAGGATTTATTTGTTAATGTCTGCTGGCCTCTTTCACATTTATTTTTTTTATAATCATCTATTGATTTACCCATTTATTTATTGAAAAGATGGACAGACAGAATGAGAGAAACAGTTATAATCCACTGGTTCATACCCCAACGCCCACCACAGCTAAGGATGGGCTAGGGCCAGAGCCAGGGGCCAAAAACTCCATCCACATGTCCCTCCATTACCTGAGTCATCACCACCACCTCTCAAAGCCTCCATCAGCAGTAGGGAGCATCTGTCAAGAGCTGCAGCCGGGTCTTGAAACCAGGCACACTAATGTGGGATGCAGACATTTTAACAGGCATCCTGCCCATTAAATCAAGTGCCAACCTTCTTTTTCATTCTTTAGTATGACATCTTGCCTCTTTTCTACCAAAAAAATTGAACAAAATTATTTTAATGTCATATTATTTATGAAAAACTTTTTTTTACCTAAAATCCTCATATTCTTTTGCTTGTCGCTTCCATGGGCAGCTCTGTATGTTTGTGATAATCCGGAGGAAGTCATTCTCTGAGTACCTGAAAGTTAAATGTCAATGGAATTAGGAAAGGCATGTTTCACTCAGAAATCTTCTTTGAGGACATGCTTTTATAATCTACTCACTTGAACCCTCTATATATTTCCTGAAATAAGGAAAGTACATTCCCTTCAAAACATCTAGAACCACACAATTTGCAAATATTTATGATGTGGGTTTAGAAATCTGTAAGTTGTACATATCTTAACCAGGTCTAGTATTAAAACTGTGATTGTGTGCCAACCTGTGTGTTCGTGAATATGTGTGTGTGCATTGTAACTATGTGGTTGATATTTTTCTTTATTTACTTTCTGACAGATTTACTGGGGGTATACGGATAAAACTTCCTCAAAACAATTATCTCAAGCCTTAATTTTTAGTAGAACACGCAAAAGCCAGATTAAATACATGTTTTATATTTGATATAAAAACCCCATAGAACAAGCAGGATAATTTGAGACACACTGAATAGAATCTCCATCCACAGCTCTCGCCTCCATCTAAAATCCCACCAATAAGTGCTCATCCTTTTAGGCACAGAACACCACAGTTTTCTCAATCTTCTCATCTAACATACAAACACTGTTTTGAGTAAGAAATCCCTTAAAGTGTTGGCTTAAACAGCTAAGTGATTCTTTTGCCATTGGAGATCTAGGCTCTGCAACACTAAGATGGAAGACATGTTAGTTAGGGGGCAAGGAAGGAGGAGAGCAGTAAAGGGCTGTGTCTTGGAAAATCACTACCCCATCCACACTGAATAATTGAATATCCTTTCAAATCTGTGACTAGAAGGAAGTGTTTCTTACAGATAAAGAGCTTAGTCAGCCCTGCAGCTCCTGCATCCTGAAATGTACCTTCCCTTTGGGTTTCTCTTCCTTCATTGTTGAATCAAACCACTTGTCCTGGGTTCTCAGTGACCCAGCTGGGAAAAGCTAAACATCTTGAAACACTCCATTAAATATTAAAGAGAAGCAAAGCAAAGAGTTACCATGGGAGAGATTAAAAACAATTTTATAGCACCAAAGCTTCTACCTCTAACAGATATACATTATTTCCATAGGTCCTACATCCCAAAGTTTTGTCTACATATCAAACTTGCTTAGCTAAAGTAACTACTGCCTATCTACACATGATGGAAACATACTCTGGAATTCTGTGCAAATCATTGTTTAGCTAGCGACAAGAAAGGTACATTCAGCAATCTACCCAAGACTTTTCCTGATCCTGGTTCTTTAGGAGGGACACACCACCATGGCAAACCTCTCATACCTGGGGAAGCTTTTTCTAACATTGAAAATAAGACAACAGTTCAAGCACTATGTATACAAGGTCTCTGAGGAAAGGTAATGAAAGAACCACTTTCTTACAAATCTCAATGAAACTGACAATGAAAAGGGAGGGGTCCAACACAAATGTCATATCTAACTAAGTTAATGAGAAGTGTATTTTAAGACATCAAGATTGGGGCTGCCATTGTGGCTTAATAGGTAAAGTTAGGACCTGCAATAGCAGCATCCTTATTGGCACCAGCTCCTGTCCTGGTTGCTCCACTTCTAATCCAGCTCCCTGCTAGTGTGCCTAGGAGGGCAGGTGAGGACAGACCAAGTTCTTAGGCCACTGCACTCACGTGGGATACCCAAACAAAGCTCCTGGCTCATAGGTTTGGCTTGGCCCACCTCCAGTGACTGCAGCCATTTGGGGAACGAACCAGCAGAAGGAAGATGTTTTTTGTCTAGTTTCTTGCTGATGCCCTGGGAAAGCAGCAGAGGACAGCCCAAGTGGGAGACCTGGAAGAAGCTCCTAGCTTCTGGCTGAGGCATTTCCCATCCCTGACCATTGCAGCCATTTGGGGAGTGAACCAAGGATGCAAAATCTTTCTCTTTTTTCTCATTACCTCTGAAACTCTTTCCAAATTTTAAAAAAATATTTCAAGATAGAAGTTAACATGAAAACACATTAAATGGAAGTTTATAATCCTTTCATGAAACTTAATGTGTCAGAGAATAAACTTTTATACAACATGATTTACTAAATGAAAAATAAATTTCTCATGATATGTCTAAGATAATCAGATGAGTGACATAGCAATAGAAACTATAGAATAAAAATACATAAAAAGACTGAATGAAAAATAGAGAATCAGTTAGTTAAGCTAACCCTAAGTAGCCTAATATAGACATTACTATAATATCAGCAAGAGAGAGAAAACAAATTTAAAGGAAATTTTTTCAAACTTAATATTATCTATGGATACACAGAAAGCTCAAAAAACCAAAAAGCCCAGCAAACTCAAAGCTCAAGGAACAACTTCACTATTATATTTAAATTTCTTTAAATCATTAATTAAGAGAAAAACCTGAAAAGTAGAGGGAAAAATTCATTACAAAGTAAAATGTAATCACAGAAGCACTCAATCAAGAAGAAGGCAGAAAAAAGAGGGAAAGGAACTCAGTCACGTGAATAGGCACAATAAATGTAAGAGATCTAAACACAGATATGTAAAGGCAGAGAATGCTATGCTGGGTCCTAACAGAGAGGAAATAATGGCTTGCTGTCCACAGGAAACCAATTTCATACAAACAAGAAAATAAACTAAAAATAAAAATACTGGAAAAGATATACCACAGTAAGACTATATATATATATATGTAAGAAAAGTTGGAGTGGCTATATTTTTTAAAAGATTTATTTATTTTCATTGCAAAGTCAGATACATATATATAGAGAGATGAGGGGAGACAAAGAGGAAGATCTTCCATCGATGATTCACTCCCCAAGTGACTGCAATGACCGGAGATACGCTGATCCAAAGCCAGGAGCCAGGAGCTTCTCTCTGGGTCTCCCACGCGGGTGGCTTTGGGACGTCCTCCGCTACTTTCCTTGGCCACAAGCAGGGAGCTGGATGGGAAGTGAGGCTGCTGGGATTAGAACCAGCACCCATATGGATCTTGGCGCGTTCAAGGTGGGGACTTTAGCTGTTAGGCCACCACACCGGGCCCGGAGTGGCTATATTTATACTAAATTTCTAAGCAGGGAATGTTACAGTGAAAAAATTAAAGACAAAAAAAAATCAGTGATATCAAAAGATGGTTCACTGTAATCAAAAATTACATTGATAAATTTATTGCTGCACTGATCAGGAATGTAAAAAACAAGGTACAAATGACCAATGACAAGAATGAGAGGGTGCAGTATTAACAGTGCTACTGATAGAACAATAAAACAACTTTACCCCCAAAATCTGGTGACCTACATGCAATGGAGTTCACTCAGTAAATGACAAAAACTGCCAGATCTCCCTCAAGAAAAAACAAATAATACAAATAATCCCACAGTAAAATCTGGCCAAGAATGGATTTACTGGACAATTTTATCCAATGTTCTTCATGAATTCTTAGAAATTCAATGTAGGGAGCCTTTCCCAATTCACTCTGTAAGAATATTTTACTATAACATTCCTTTTCCCTACAAAAAAAAAAAAGGAAGAAAAGTAAAAAACAAACAATATATATATATATATGTTAAAGAAAATAGCAAACCAATATGGCAAATAGAGATGCAAAAATCCTCAACAAAGTGTTATTGAATTGGATCCAACAACCTGCACAGAGGTGAAAGGTTAGGACCAAGTGAGGTATGCATTCTAAATGGTGTCCTAACTTATCACAAAAGTTACGAATGCAGCTTGCCATATTATTACAGTAAAACAAAGGAAACACAAATGATAATTTCATTACATGGTGGGGGGAGGCATTTGATCCGACACAACTTGACAAAAACTCTGAGTAAATTCAGTATAGAAGAAATCTTCCACAACATAACAAAGGTCATCTACAGTTAAGTACACACCTACTGGTGAAAGACTGAATACTTTGCTCCTAAGATCAGGAACATAGCAAGAGGTCCACCCCCACCATCGCTATCCCTCATTATCCTGGAGGTATAATTTCTTGGCAAAAGGCAAGAAAAATAAGGCCATCCAAATGAAACAGAAGAAATAGAACTGTTTATTCAGAGATGTCATAATCATCTGAAGAATCCATGAAAAATATCAGAACTAATAATTAAGCAAATGTTGGGGAAATAACATCAATGTAATAAACCAATTAATTTCTTGACACAAACAAGAACTAGTTGGAACTAATACAGCATCTCCATTTATAACATCACAAATAATGCTACATGTAAGTTTGATCAAAGATGCACAAGGTTTGTATACTAAGAGTACTAAGAATAACTAAAAACAGACTAAATAAATGGAGTTATATATCACGTTCATGGGATAGAAGACTCAAGACTGATAAAAAGTACATTTTCCCCAATACATACATACACACACGTGCACATATATATATATATATATATATATATACTATCCTTCCCACCCTGATCAACCATGTAAATATCATCAAAAATAAAAATTAAAAAAAAGAGAACTCACTAATAAGACACCCACCCAATCTACTTACTAACTGAGGAAAAAGGGCTTTACCAATAGATACTGCTAACAAAACCTATATTCTACATCAGCGTAACTGGTTCCATATCCAGCTCTTGCTCCCAACTCCACCTTCAACTAACACAGGCTCTGGTAGGCAGGGTGATTGCTCAAGTGATTGGGTACCTACCACCCCCACAGGAGATTTGAATCAAATTTCTAGAAAGCTTTGGCCCCTGATCCAGGGCCAGTGCAAGCATCTGGGGAATGAAACATAAGATGGTAACAGTTGCTCACCCTGTCTCTCAAACAATAAAAATAAATAAAATTGAAAAGAATTAAAAATTAGACAACAGATTTTAATATTTTGATGGATAGCAAATTAATACCTGAAAAACTGCTTAGTTTTATTTGTTAATAGGGAAATTTACACATTCATTTGTACAGATAAAGTTGAAAGATTAACCATACAACTAACTGTGACAAGAAGCTGAGCAACTGGAACTCTAACCCAGATAGAAAGAACATAAAATATAGAACTACCGTCCAAAAGCCATTTGGGA